CAGCAGCTTTTAATTTTATATTAATTTATTTCACTCAACTCGTGGTCCATGACCAATTGGCACGCAAAGTGCAAGAGAGGGGTGATAGCCAACCACGGCATGAAAAGAAAAGAAAGGAATATAGAAAAAGAGAAGAAAGAAGGATAGACAAGAATCCAGCAATGAGATCCTATCGTACTACATTATGCGATCGGAGTGCATGTTTAAAGCTGGAAAGACATTTTGATGTCTAAACATGCTGGGGAAGTTGCAGGCAAAGGCTGCAGGACAAAAACAGAGGAGAGTTGGTAAATGCGGCTGAATTAACACGGGGAAGTGAGAGACCAGTACGAGTGGGCCTGGACAGAGAAAACCAATTGAATACGGAGAGATGAATGGGAATTTTACGTAGGCGAATTCTCTGGATCAAAACGCAAAGCTGCTGTTTGCGATTATCAATAGAGCTCAAGACTAGGAAATAAACGCTGCTTGTTTTTTAAGAAGAGATTTATGTTGGATTTTAAGTTTGTTCACAAGATGTTGACTTATACTACACCAAGACTGACATGCATACTGGAAAATAGGTAATAGATACGAGAGATAAAACATAGAACGGCATGTATTTGGCAAATGAGAACGATGAGGATATAGTATGCCGAGAACACTAGTAGTTTTCTTGCAAATATAGTCTACATGAGGAGCCCATGTTAGACAGTCGTCAATAATACCAAGGTGCTTATGTTCATGGACAATTTCTATGGTCGATGAGCTGCCAGGACATGATAAAGACACATTACAGAACTGATCACTAGCACCGCTACAGAAGAATATCACTTTGGTCTTACTAGTGTTCGGTCTCAGCTTCCAAGTCGACATCCAAGAAATGGTGGAGTTTATCTTTTTCTGGAGGTCATTGACTAGCAATTGCTTGCACTTACTTGAAGCGGAAACTGTGGTGTCATCGGCGAACAGTGAAACATTAGGGACAGACATCGGTAGATCATTGATGTAGACTAAAAAGAATAGTGGCCCCAGGATTGACCCCTGTGGCACACCAGAATTAATTGCCTTGGGAGACGAGAGGGTGTTGCGACGCGTACAGCCTGTTATCTGTCAGTTAGGTACCTTTCAAAGAAACAAAGCAGGTTGCCACCAATGCCATAGGCACCCAACTTGGCAATCAGGCCTCTATGCCAAACAGCTTTGAATCCATGTTCTTGCATTTGTCCCCAAGGTTTCATCCGTGTCTCGAACTCGGTTATTGTTAGGTCAATCTTTTCGTACATAGCGCTATCTGATAGCAATGTGTCTGCCTTCTCCAGGTAGAGCGCTTGTTACAGTGCGACCAACTTTTTACTTTTGTCTGACGGTTTGATGACTGTACTGGTGTCTGGAGCTTGGGCCGAGCTTTGTTCCTTCGACAGGCAATTTTTCGGTTCGTGAGCGTTCGGAGGTGATTACGTCTGTCGAGCGGATGGCCTACACGTTGCGCTGCCAGCAAGCAGGGCCTCAAGAGGTGGAGGTTCCAGACAACGAGACTGTTTCTGACACTGTGGGCGACAGAAAACTCTGGAAGCTCAAGCAACGTGGGTTTAAACAACCGCCGAAAATGTGTGACGATGAAGAAAGGAAGCTTGCGAACTTCAAGGACGATGTTCTCGCTGCCTACACCAAGCACAAGCCACCGACGTCTAATATGACCAAGGAGGAACGAGAGGAGCTAGCCAGACTCCGCAGGGACACCAGTACAGTCATCAAACCGTCAGACAAAAGTAAAAAGTTGGTCGCACTGAAACAAGCGCTCTACCTGGAGAAGGCAGACACATTGCTATCAGATAGCGCTATGTACGAAAAGGTTGACCTAACAATAAGCGAGTTCGAGACACGGGCGAAAGCTGTCCTTGGGGACAAATGCAAGAACATGGATTCAAAGCTGCTGAAGTCGATTCTCCCCAATGATACAAGATTCCCCTAGTTTTATGGTCTCCCAAAGGATCATAAACAGAACCTACCCCTACGACCCGTCGTGTCTGCACGTGATAGTCCTGTCAAGGGCATATCAATCGTACTAGAAGCATTCTACACCAGTTGCTAGACTTCGTCCCAGCACACCTCACTGATACGCATGAAGCCCTTGATGACATCCGCGCTTTATTCCCAGATCTCAAAGTTCCAGAGGGGACAATTCTTGCCACTTTGGATGTCGTGGGGCCTGTACCCGAGCATTCCAATTGAAGAGGGCGTCAACGCAGTGGGAGAAATATTGAAACAAAATTTCAAAAGAATCAACATATTCGGCCTTGACGCGTGTGAAGTCAAGGACTTGCTTCAATTCGTTCTCAGTAACAATTTCGTCAGACTCGGGCGACAAATTTACCACCAGCTAGAGGGAGTTGCAATGGGCAATAATCTAGCACCACCATTCGCAATATTGTTCATGCACTCTCTGGAAACGCGCCTTCTTGCTGATTCACCGGTTCTGCCCGTGCTTTACAAACGGTACATTGATGATGTGATCATTCTCTGGACCCACCGTGAGAAACGCCTCTTGGAGCTAATACAGCACTTCAATGCAGGACACGACCAACCAAAGTTCACCTACGAGCTCAGCAGTAGTAAAGGCTGGATTGATTACATGGACGTGACGATTCCCATACAACAGTCGGGCCAGATAACGTACAAGCTCTTCCAAAAGCCAAGCAATAGTGAATTGCTGATAGACTACGCGTCTGCTGTCCCCCATCACATCAAACTTCCTGTTGCCAAGTCTCAATTCTTAAGAGCACAACGTCTGTCTTCCAATGACACCATGTGTAAGGAAATTGAACAGAAAATTCAAGACCAACTTCAACTCAACCACTATCCAGATAGCCTCATCATCAATGCCCGAGAAGCAGCAAGGAAACCCAAGCGTCGCCGCTGAGGTAATCCGTGTTGTGCGTTTCTGAAGCTGCCATATAAGTCGAACAGGGTGCATCACAGAGTCAGCAAAGCCATCCGGAAGCACAAGTTGCCAGTCCGGGTGGTTTACGAGCATGCGGGTAGCCTCAAACGTCAGCTCTGTCACTCAGCACAAAGTCCGCCTAGCTGCATTAAGGAGCCCAACATCAGAACGACAAAGAGAAGAGGACGCCCAATGGGACCGTGTTTGACTTGTAAGTCGGGTGGAGTGAAAATATGTTGGAAGAAAAATGTGATATACCGGCTGCAATGCAAGTTGTGCAGGGAAAATTACATCCGAGAGACGGGTCGCACACTGGAGACGAGACTGGAGGAACACAACGGTGAAGCTCGTAGGCGCACTGTGGATAAGCCATGGGGTGACCACATGCGAGCTAAGCAAGCAGGGATCAACCTAGGTGTCGGGGACAGCATCTTCTCGGCAGTGTCTGTGGTTGCAAGAGCCAGTGACAGGGCAAGCCGCAAATTGCGAGAGGCAGTGGAGATCAGAAACGGAGGCCCAGAGATCAACACCAGTTCTGGATGGTCATTACTCTAAAACAGTCACACCACACTGGCTATCTAGGTGACAGTATTTTCTGGAAAACACTGACATGGTCACATTCGTGTATTGCTTGCGAGAAACCTGTTCAGACATTTCTCAAGTTATCTGGTCACATCTGCGCTGTGCTAACGTATTACCAACACCCAGCATGTGAGTCAGTGAAAACTTGTGATCTGTCACTAGTTTTAGACATGTCATATTTCTAGCACTGAGGTAACATGTGCAGTCATACAAATAATTATTATCAACAACAGTTACAATTATTATTACTAAGAACACAAAATTGGTGGATATAACTGCTCCTTGGCAGACTTCCACTTCGTATTGCATCCTGATGATGGCAATTTGCCGAAACGTTGAAAATGATTCTGTTAAGTGAAATGAGTTGTGAATTTGCTGTGCCCAGGGAATGAGCATGTGTGCTCACCAATTCCCTTCGAGTTTTCTCAGACATGGTCTCTTAAGGCCATTCTACCAGCCCCAGCCGACCCACCCTCTCCGTGCAGACCATCGACCAGGTGGGCTACTAAGATCGCTCAGCAACACCAGAACCAGCTAAAACAACACTCCCAGCACGCACCCTAAGCAGCCTCTGCAATGGATTCTCCGATTGCGCCATTCCAACGTGGAACAGCCTGCCGGAACATGTCTTACGATCTGCACCCCACCCACAACAACTGCAGTCTTTAAAGGAAAGATGCCATAAGTACCTGCTGTGCCTTGACTGGCAAAGAGCAACTGACGATCTTTGACTTCATTAGCTTAAGTTCTGATTGACACCCATTTTCTTTTCCGGCATATGTTTTATTTATATCCTTCTGCAGTGGATGCGTAGGCGCTAATAGTGGGCGCTGCATTTCCGTATACATGTCTTGCTCTCGTCATGCTGTTCTCTCCTTCTCTCTTACGTCTTTCTCTGTTTTTTGGCGCGCTTGTCTGTGCAGGCGCTGAGACCACCAAGGTCGGCTGAGCAGCAGGGCCCTGCCACCACTTTCCGCATTCATTCGGGAGCATAGTGACGTTAGTAAAAAATACAAAAAAAAACTGCCGCCCCTACAACTGAGGCAGATTACATACAGAGGTTACATTGAAGTAAAGTTCGCACATCCAGGCCACCACTGGCACTTCATTTGTATCAAGAGACGCAACCAGTTAAGGAAATTCTACTCCTGCCAGGCCAACGTCAAAGTTGTGCGCAATCTAAATGAAAACGAATGACTTGTGAGGTACTTCTAGTTAACAATAGTGGAAGATTTGGAAAGACGATGTCAATGCTTTGGCTCTCACGACTTACCACGTTTGTTACAAGTTACGAGTTACAAGAGATGGGTAAATAGCTAAATTCTGCCACGGACACCATTCAGATGGCCTAGCATGGAAATCTGTTTGTGAAGTTAGAACATTTACGCATTAAATCATGTTTTCTTCTGCTTTTCCGAAAACCCATTGTGAGTGTTCGAACAAAGGTTGATCTGTAGATAAATTTTCGAAAAGATTGTTCGCATGCCTTGCTTACCGTCTCCAGTGGTCTCAAGACTGATAGTTGTTGTAACAGGTAATGGCTCATTGCTGCTGGCGGAATTTGATAGTGCTGTTGTTGTTTGTATGTAGACGTTAGCTGCCATATCAAAGCAGATCATACAATTGTTTGTAGATAAAGTGAGTAGGTAGCAAAACTCTATCTTCTCTAAACCCGGAAAGTTTAACGATTCACAAAATCAAACGTTTTAACGACCACTTGTTTTGGTACTGCCATATAAGTCGGACAAGGTGGATCACAGGGTCAGCAAAGCTATCCGGAAGCACAATTGACCAGTCCGGGTGGTTCACGAGCATGCGGGTAGCCTCAGACGTCAACTCTGTCAGTCAGCACAAAGTTCGCCCAGCTTCATTAAGGATCCCAACATCAGAAAGACAAAGAGACGCCCAATGGGACCGTGTCTGACTTGTATATCGGGTGGAGTGAAAATATGTTTGAGGAAGAATGTGATCTACTGTCTGCAATGCAAGTTGTGCAAGGAAAAACACATCGGAGAGACGGGTCGCACACTGAAGACTAGACTGGAGGAACACAACGGTGAAGCTCATAGGCGAACTGTGGATAAGCTATGGGGTGACCACATGCGAGCTAAGCATGCAGGGATCAACCTGAGCATCAGGGACAGCATCTTCTCAGCAGTGTCTGTGATTGCAAGGACCAGTGGCAGGACAAGCCGCAAATTGCGGGAGGCAGTGGAGATCAGAAACGAAGGTCCCGAGATCAACACCAGAGCTTGATGGTCATTACTCTAAAACAGTCACACCACACTGTAGGTGACAGGATTTATAGAAAACCACTGACATGGTCACATTCGTGTATTGCTCGCGAGAAACCTGTCGAGACATATCTCAAGTTATCTGGTGACATCTGCGCTGCGCTACTTATTACCAACACCCAGCATATGAGTCAGTGAAAACTTGTGATCTTTCACTAGTTTTAGACGTGCAAGGTTGACTCATTCCGCCACGGGCGCCGCGATGTCTCCCTGAAAGGCCAGCGTATGTTTTTCCTGACAATTGTCCAGAGTGCCTTGGACTATGCCAGCACTTCTTTTGTTCACTGCTTGTCTTCTAAACTCTGAGAAAACTTGAGTCAACCAGAATAGGTGCCTAAGGCGAGTGTTTGGCCATGATCAGTATACTGCTATCGATTTCATTCTCACCAAATATAACCTGTATACTTTCTCTCGCCGTGTAAACTTGAAGCTGTTTGTGTTTGTTTTTAGGTGTCTATCTCGTTGCATCAGTCCTCTTTTAAGCACAATATTTACCCCCGCTCTACATCATGCCGTACAAATGCTGCTACCCGCGGTTAGGCTTCAGCCGTTCCGAACCTACCCAGAGCTACGTCTCGTTAAGGACTGAATGCTATTTCATTTTTGGCAGCAGACAGATGGAACATACTTCCACCTGGATGTCGTCAAGCTAAGCCCCTTTCTGCATTTGTCACAAGCACCAAGTCATTCCTAGGGTTCCCAGTAAAAAGGCAACGCCTGTTGGGAGTTCCCTAGTAAAATAATAAATTCTACTACTACTACTACACGTCATATTCCTAACACTGAGGTAACATGTGTAGTCATAGAAATATTATCAACACCTAAGAACACCAAATTACATACATATATAACTGCTCCTTGGCAGACATCCACTTCATATTGCATCCTGATGATGGCAATTTGCCGAAACGTTGAAATGATTCTGTGAAATGAAATGAGATGTGAATTAGCAGTGCCCAAGGAATGAGCGTATGTGCTCACCAATTATCTTCAATTGTTTTTCGTTATTTAAAAAAGATTTTTATCGCTAGATGTCTGTGTAAAGATGGGCATACAGATGGGTCGCCAGGTAGCCATCGTTAAACTTCGTGCAAGTAATCATGCCAAAATTACAAAAACGTTTAACTTTTGGGTCGTTAAACTTTCCGGTTTTACAGAAATTGAATAAATAATCTATGTGGAGATAAGAGTTTGATAATACCTATGAAAGGTATGAATGCCGCAGACATCACCATGCAACATGAACATTTGCAAGAAGTTTGAAACTGTGTGTTTCCAGAATCAATTTTCAAGCTCCGATCATCAGTGTTGGCACGGAATTAAAGTGATCTTGTTAAAAACAGGGGAAGAATGTGTTGCCGACTTGTTGTGAATGGCCAACGGTCCTCAGCGCTTGTTCGGCACCTCCATGAGCGACACTGACTCACGCTGCTATCTGGTGTTCACGATGTGCTTGTCGCGCTGGAAACGGAGTGTCTCTGTAAATTTGTATTCCGGGTGATGTTTGTGCCTGGAGAGCACTATATAAGTGGTGCTCTTCAGGCACAATCTTCTTCAGCCTACTCAACCTCAACTGATGAGAGGTGAATTCCCCGAAGCACTGTGTATAGAGCAGGGAGTGGTGCTTTCTTGCAGGTTTGCCGAGTGAACAGTTCGATGTACTTCTCGTGTGCTCTGGATGGCAGTCGTGTGTCAGTCAAGTGAGAATTCAAGTCGGCAGGGAAACCGCGAGCTCCCATGTAGGGAGCATCACACTCTTCCTCTACTATCGCAGAAGTCGCACCAACCTCTTCTTCACTTGTTCAAAACAAAGGTTAGAAATCCCATTAAGTGTGACAAATGTAGGTATGAGAAAAAGAGTGAGGAAAGTAAGGAAAAGATAGCAATACAATGTAAGTGCCACAATTAGGGAAAGTAGTAGTAGTTTTTTTACTTGTTTATACCCAACAGGCCTATGGCCTTCTCACAGGGTGCCCAAGGAGAAATTGTAATCAGCTAGCGAAAAGCAGGCAACGTACGCTGGGGTGGTATGATAGCGGGCAGTGCATTATAGCGGTCAGCACCAATAAATGAGAGACTCTAGAGAACTGGCCGAGACAAGAATGGGGGAGAAAGAGATTACTGAATGTTTGGCCTCTGGTTTGGGAGGTAGTGTGGGTAGCATCATTTCGGGTCGTGAAGATTTGGGAGATGAGGGGACTGCAAAGGGACCTGAAGCACCGAAAAGTAAAAATATATAGCTAAAGAGTGAGGCGAAGGCTGAGTGGGTGGAGGTTATGACAACACAAAATGGGCTGAACGTCAGCACAGAAAGGGTAGGCAAATACAATACGACTGGCTCCTAGAAGCCTTTTGTATTCTGCAGCATGTAATGAATGAACATAATAATTATTATGATGTGCTGGCGTACTATACTTGGCTTTGTTTAACTACGCGATAGAAAGTTCGGCGAGCCTTACTGTCCAGGTTGTCTCTGCCTTGCCTAAAACCTCCTTGCTTTTTGTTAACATCATCACGAAGGTGGGGGATATGGGGTCGGAAGGTCAGGTGCTCTTCGATAGCCCAAGATACTTACATGCGGGTGACAGTCTCGTCGCACAGCACTGATGCAGTCACCGGAATTGGGTCACAGGCACGATGGATGATTAGGAGTTCAGTATTCTTTGGGTTTACCAGAAGGCCACGACCATCAAAATATGATTCAAGAGCGGCGAAATCTTCTGATAAAACCCTGAGCATGCTGGATGTGTTGGACACTTTCCAGGGCAAAATGTATGTGAAAAATGCAGAACCCACTCATGACGAAGGGGTGTATTATTATTATATCTCCTTTATTCACTTCTTTTGAAGGCGATAAGCCAGACCCACCGGGAAATATTTCCATGGGTGGGACAGCAAAAAGAAAGTGATACCTGAGGTCTCGGCGTCACGGCCAAAACGTGCACCAAAAAAATAGAAAAAGAGGATAATAGAGCTGTAGAGGTCAGAAAGATGCGAAAAACCCAAGGCTTAACACGAGTGAGTGTGGGGAGAAACTATAATACTATTCATAAGGAATCGACTGCCCAGAACCAGTTTGTGCTGCGAAGATGGCGATAAACGTTCATTTTCAATGATTGCATTCTCTTGCTGTGGGGAGGCTGGGACAGGAGAGCGGCAGGGAGGGAGTTCCAATCGCTGATGCTGCAGTGTGGGAACGAGCGCTTCTGCGCCAGTGGGGCAGATTCAGGCAGCTGGTGTTGGAGCTGGTGGTCATGGCCAATGACACAACCGTGCTCGCTGCGGGTTCTTGGGTTGGCAGAGGTGATATCGCGGGGTGGCAACACAGAGAGCAGCTGCGGAGGTCCAGGCAAGTTGTGCAGCTTGTACAGGCAGGCAAGCGAGACAACAGTACGGTGGATGGCCAAGCTGGGTAGGTTTGCCCCAGGGCCAATAGCATGGAGTGCGCGGCGCTGAACATTTTTCAGACGCTTGAGGTGACTATGCGCAGCCCCCATCCATACAAGAGGCGCATACTCCATGACTGGTCGTACGAACGCCTTATACACTGTCGTCCGGCCGGCGGGGGTGAGGACGTGGGCGGCTCTGTCTAGGTCCCCAAGCCGTTGACGTGCACGGGTGGCTACGGAGCGTAGGTGATCGCCAAAGGTCAACTTGGCGTCCACCTTCACACCAAGGAGGGTAATGCTGGTTGTCTCGGGCACCAGTGTGCCACCAAACAGGAGTGGGGGAGATCTAAGCCGGCGCGTCTGAGGGTGGCTGACATGGCGTGGGATTTAGTTGGTTCAAAAGTCACTTTCCAAGTACGGCCCCACTCGTGCAGTCGGTCAACAGACCCTTGCAGTGACTGCGCTGCGACTTCCGCGGTCTGCTGGGAGGTGACTAAGCTGTATAAGGTTGTGTGATCAGCATAGGCCTCCAAGCTGGCGCCGTCATCGAGAACGTCTGGCGCGTCGTTGACGTACGCCAGGAAAAGAGTTGGACCAAGAATGCTTCCCCGGGGGACTCCAGCGGAGGTCGTATACGTAGCTGACGTACGCCCTCCAACGAGGCACTGTAAGGAATGGGTGTCCAGGTACGAGGCCAGCCATCTCTGAAGCGGACCAACGATGCCTAGGCTACGCACCTTGCGGAGGAGGCCGACATGTGAGACACCGTCAAACGCTACTGCGATGTCCACAGCAAGGATACGAGCCGCCCCTCCACAGCCCACAGCGCTTGCCCAGGCAGTTTGGAGAGCTTGCAAAGCATATGATGTTCCGAGGTCTCTGCGAAATCAAAACTGGTGTGATGTGAG